GCTGCTGGCCGCTCACGCTGGCTGCCGGCTACACATGGTAGCTTATGGCAACCCACTGCAGCAGGGGACTGTAGCCTACGCCGTCACCGGCGACCCACAGCAGCCCAGCTCCAGGTCGAGCTGTTGTTCAGCATCTTAGCTGTAGAGGGCAGTGTCGCTGGCCCTCATATGTGGGATCCGAACCAGGGCCCTCTGGCATCCCAAGCCAGTTCTTAGCCAACACGCCACTCGGCCAGCCCCAGATGTGTTTTAAAATTCAGATTTTTTAAAATAAGGGAATATGACATAAGGGACGTAGAAAAGGTGTGTCTACATCCCTCCCAGATGTAGCACATTTGTTTTTGTGCAGCTTGTGCACTGCAAAGCATTAGGGGACACTATTCACATAGACTATGATTTGACTTGACCATAACATAAAAAAATGCATCCTAGAATTATGCAGAGTGCAAATCACAGCAGCACTTTAAAACTCACTCCCTGCCGTGTTTCAGAAACTGGCTGTCTCCCATGGCAGGCTCACTCAGGCTGTGCTCAGCAAGCACACCCTCTCCCCTGACTCCAGTAATTCAGTTTTTTCTTTTACAAAAGTCCAAACCTTTTAACATAATCTGATGATGAATTCTGAAGCTAAAGATAGACTTTTTTGTAGTGACCTGTTTTAGTATTATGGAAGCGATTACATCTCACTCATGTGTGTCCAGCCTTTGTGAGTTGAGCCGTGTTGACTAAGGAGATATTAGGGTTGCCAGTGGCTTCTGTCTAGCTGGGCTCTCCCCACTTTCCCCAGCAGTGAGATGTGATGGAACTGCTCTTGGTGACTCAAGGGGTCAGTCTCTTTTGCAAGGACTTGCTGAAGTGTTCTGAAGGTTGTTCTTTGCTCTTAACCATGTCTGAGTCTGGTCAGACGAAGTCCCTGTGTCCCTCCTGGATGCATCACAAGTTCCTTTCTTTCTAACTTGCCCTTGGGTGGAGGGGTAGCTTTTTTTGTTTGGTGAATGTAGGGTATTTCCAGTTGCCTTTATAGGCACTAAAGCTCTGAGAGATGCTCACAGAGGCCTTTGACCTCAAGTGAGTCCACATGTCAGTCTTCTTGGGCCAGCACAAGCCCACCCTACCATTTCTTAGGCTTAGCTGCCCTCTTGAACCTGGCTGATGGGAATCCCCATGAAGGCCTCATAAGTTGGTGCTAGCTGGTACCTAGTGACTGGAGGGTGGCTGAAGGTGATTGAGCGCGGTGAGAGTTGTAGATAAAGTGAGATGCATTTTAACCTTTCTGACTTTGAGCTGTTTCTTCCCTACAATCCCTTTGTGCACTTCATGCCTCTTGGGCATGGAGAGAAGTAGAGATTCCACGTAAAATATGTTGCATCATGTAGTGCCCACCTAGTAGAGTCAGATTTATCAGCCTAACAAACAAGGGTCAAAATACCAAATGTTTAGGGACTCATTGTGACCTCAGAATAGTGGATGGTCTGATCCTGAGCCTTGTCTCTGAAGTGGAAGCACCAAGGTGTGGCCAACAGACAGCAGTTTTCAGTCTGTTGGGAGCTCCAGACCCAGGTTTTGTTCTCTGGGTCTTCAAATGCCTCTCTCCTTTCCATCGGAGACTTGCTAACGACCTAGTGCCCAGACATGAGAGAGAGAGAGAGACAGAGAGACAGAGAGAGAGAGAGAGAGAGGAGAGAGGACAGAAGACAGAGGACAGAGGACAGAGGACAGAGTCTGGGATTGCCTCCACCTCCTTGGATCTAGGAGAGAGGAGGCATTGATGCTGAAGCGTAAAAGTGGGGTGATGGGGCTGCAGGTTGTGTGGCAGGAGAAAACTGGGTAGAGAACGAATCCAAAATCCAATTCTATGCAGTTTGTGCTCTGTGTCCTCCTAACACTCCACGCAGTTTGTATTGCAGCACATACCACGTGAAAGGACCCGTCCCTTGTTGCTAGGCTACGAGCTAGACTTTGAGTAGCTCCTGTGTGTGTGGAATGGCGAGAAGTGTGCATGGCTAGGAAGCCCCAGGGCTGTTTGGAGGTTCTTTTCACCTCAGCCAGCAGGCTCACTTCCTGCTGCAGCACTGAGACCCTCCCATGTTTGGATATGATAAGAAAATAAGAGCAGATCTACGTAGCTGGGGATTTAGGAATCTCATTCTCCACCATTGTTTCTATCTCTTTAATTCTGACCATTAGAGAGGGGCTTTTGTTTGTTCCTTTTCTTGTTTTTCCACCTTTTGCTTGTTTTCCTAGTTCTCTCCTCTCCCACATTTTTTTTTCATGAAACCCAATCATCTTGAAAGTCTGATTTTTAAGTTTTGTATAATCATGAGGTCCCTCTCTGTAACCAGTATAATTGATTCCCTTTTACTGAATCCGAAAGAAACCGCTTCTTCCAGGTTGGAAAACAGAAACCTCCACAGCGACTCCACCTTCCTCCTGCTCTTTAGTTGTTAGTGACTTTGGTTAGTGGTATACAGCTCTGGAATTTTCCTCTGCGTACCTAGCATACCTTCCTGTAGATAAAACTAACCTTTTTTTTTTTTTTTTAAACAGAGGAAATAGCTCTAGGCAGGATTGTGTAGTAGAGTTTATCTTCTAGGCTGGTTTACCTGATCACTATCCCCCCACCCACCCACCCCCGGTTTTGCCATATATTTACCCCCATGGAAATGTATTTACTCAGTGTCTAGTTTCTTAGACCTGTGTCAGGTGACTTCCTAGAACACTTGCTAAAATAACTGTACTAAAATGTGACTAAATGGTAATAGCTCAGTGTATTAACCTTCCCAGATAGCATTCCAGTAGGAAACACCAAGTTAACACCACCCCTAACAATCCCCAGGGAGAAGAACCCAGTCCACACTGTTCTAATAGCAGTTTGACTTTGGATTTACCACCTCTCTATGGGTTCCATCTTCCCCACAACTAGAAACCAGGGGGTGGGCCAATGTCCCTAATAGTTTAACATTTTTAGGATCCTCTCTGCCTGTGATAGGCTGGAGAGGAAAGTTTTTTTAGCAAGTGGGAAGGGGTTCCTTATTAACCTGGCACTCTTGATCATAAAATTGCCATATTGAGTGGAACAAGGGTGGCATTTCATCTTGTGTCTCAGACATTAAGACCAAGGATGTGACAGATATTGCCCACCCATCCTATTACCTCAAAGGACTAGAGATTTACCCCAACTCTTCTACATTTGCTATTGTGATCATTCTGCTTTCACCTTTCTAACCCCTTCTTGAACCAATGAAAGCTACTTTCACTTTCACGCTTTATCATTCTTTTCCATCTTTTTCCTGGGGCTACTTCTTTAAGCTTCGGGAATTTGCCCTCCCACTCCACCCCCACACCACATTTTATAAATTTATTATTTTCTATCTCCTTCCCCTTTATACCAATCTTCCTTTTAGACTGAAGATTCTAATTCTTTCTAGCTTCTCACACACAAGCCTTACAGTCATGTTAATCGAGTCTCTTTTCTGGGAGCTGTTTAAAATGTATGTTTTCCGGGAGGAGGTGATTGACTAGGGCAGATCTGGGTGATTTTTCTTTGAGGAGGAATATTTATTATAGATTTTTCATTGTAAAATAGATTGTCCTTAAGAAAGACAAATTGGAAAATGTAGTGAAATAGAAAAGGAAACTGGAATGACTGTTTTTTCAAATTAGCCAAGATGTAGGCAAGCCCATTTTCATGGCCAGGCTGTAAACAGCACACAATGCCCGCCTGTGGACAAAGGCCTGCTCTCCAGGCGACTGCAGTTAGCAAGTGTGAGACGGAATGCAGCCTTTTGTTCCTGGCGAGCTTCCTAGTGCACGAATATACTTTCTTTTGTAGTCAGCCTTGGTGGATTCTTGCTAGAACCACTTGTGAGCTTTTATAAAATGATTTGCAGTTTCTGAGCTTCTTTTCAGATTAAAAGGGACAGGACTGGAGGAGCCATTAATCTGAATGGGAACCCGCACCCTGCACCCTTCGACATCTCCTCCCCCCAACCCCCCTCTCCTCCCAGAGTGTGCGTGAGCAGCTCAGGAGCCCAGAGCCATTTAGAAATCAGTGCTTTATGGGGTTAACACTCTGCAAATGTTCTTTGCAAGAGGGTCTTATAGACATGACAGACTGCCCAAGGCTCAGATCTCAGCAAGGCCGTTTCCTGCAGTCAGCTGGGGCTGCATTAGGTCACCCAGCAGATTAAAAGAGGAGTAATTATGCGAATTCCAGCGCCAAGAATAAGTGCCCTGGTTGTGGGAGACCTTAGTGGGAGAGGGGGGCGGCATGACTTCAGCTCCCCTTTTGTGCTCAAGATGGCCGCAGCCATGGTCACGGCTAAATAGCTGTCTTTGAGGAAAGTCTTTTCTTCCAGCAGGGAAAACAAGCCAGCCTGCTCTGAATTAGCCAGCTAACAAAGTCATGAAAGGGACTTACAAAAACAATAGCACCCAGTACATTCCGTGAGATTTTAACAAGTTATATGAACCAAATAATGGCCCGATTGGCTGGCTCTGCAGGTTTTTGCCT